GTGAGCTGCCAGCTTCCCGAGGAGGATATTATGCGAGAAATGTGCACTCTCTCTCTGTACGTGTATACACATATGCTATGTACATATGTATGTATGCATGTATATATATAATTTATTTATTCTTAAGTTCACTGAGTAGGAAGAGTTCACACTTCTACAAGTGAATTCTTCCTTTCCCTCCACTTGATGCCAACAGCTGCGCACCTGGGAAGCAGTCCCTGAGCGCCCCTACCAAACCATGGCGACGTAGCTCATGGAGCAAACTGAAGTCAAGACCATTGACACCAAAAATCAGAGGGAGGGTTCAAAGGCAGTGCTGTGACTCCAAGCTGGATCCAGGAGGGAGCAAGCACCACACTGTTGCAGTTTCTCGGTCAGCCACCAGTGGGAGGCAGGTGCTTACCGTGCACTGAAGCAGGACCTGCACCTTAACTTTCTGTAGGGTAGCTACACATACAGCCCATGCAAGGAAGGTGAGGGTCACAGACATTTTCACAGACGTTGACCACCATCTCCATTTCAAGAAAATTCAGTTTCTTTCACAAATCAAGAGAAGATCGAAATTTCAAAGGTGATCTTGCTAACAAAATTGCAACCATGGGCTTAGCTGGCCACAGTATTGTTTAACAAGCCACTATTTTTTTGACACAGCACTTATTGCTGTTCAAAAAGAGCAGAGGATAAAACACACAAAGAGAAGGAAACTTTATCATTTTCTTTCCACTCATCTAAATCTGTCCCCATCACGCTAATGGAAGTTTTACTATTTACTCACAGGAGGTTAATTGGCCCAAGGGGAAAAAATTACCCTCCCATTAAAAATTTCCAGCCTATTTAAAGTAAATTTTTCCTGGAATCACTTTGAAATATTAATGCTGGCTGTTATACATTTGTCCTGAAATACTCTTTTTTTTCTTTTTTTTTTTTTTTTTTTGATGACACTGGCATAGTGGCAGTTTTGGAATCTCAAAACCAATCTTGTTAACATATTGTCTTACTCAACTGAAAAAAACCAATAAATCCTCAAAGAAAAAGTGACAGTGTTGTTTCCATTTCATACAGAAAATGTTGTAAAATGACTTTACTTGTTTCACTGGACTATTTAAATATACAGGTATGTATTTTTGCCCAGACTACCTAGCCACTTCAAAACCAAGATAAATTTACATAGTTCTTAAAGACTTATTCTCTAGCAGGGAATAAGTTAATGGAGTGATACGTTTGAGGTTGGACTCAGCAAATCCTACCTATCTTCAATTGGAGTTTTAGACAGTCAAATGATTGGGTTCTCTCTGCATCCTTCATGGAAAGAAAATGGCATTCCCTGTGCTACTGAAAGATAGCAGTAGCTTTTGAGAATGCATCACTAGATAGGTGTTAAAATAAATGCAGCGTTAATGGCAAAGTATAAACGAGAAATCATATACCCTTTCCTTTTATTAGTGGGCAGTAACACTTTAGCAGAACTGATTTGAAATTGCTTATTTCTGATGCTTTGGACATCCACAGCCCCTATCAATCCCATGCGCAAATCTATGTGATGCGACATCTGCCAAATGAGGACCATAACAGGAACATGTAGCCACCAACTGTGATATGAGTAGCTCAGCTCATAACAAACATGTTACTCAGCCAGGAACAAATACGAATTTTTCTGAGTGACATACAAAAGCTTTAGCCAGGAAACGTCTTTTCCCTCCCCCACATCTATCCCCCATACATTTGCTATGTACCTTTCAGGTTCCCAACAGATCAGACAAAATTTAGGGCTATTTCTAAAACAACCCTAGTGCAAGCTCAGATCAATGTTTGAGAGCTTAATTCTACAGGCAAAACAGTGTTATTTTAAGATAAAATTTTATGGTGGAAGAATGTCTGTCAACAATTAAGCTCTAAATAGCTGCAAAGTAAACAAATCAGTTTTGTTCCTCCTACCCTCAGGAATGACCTCAGCTGAAAACTTCAGCATGTTAAAAGCAATCAAGATCCTACAAAAAACAGAGGTAAACTCAAAGATTGGATTACTTAGTTGCCGTTCCCACAAACACATGTTGTGAACAGTCCTAATGGTTTCCAAGTAGTTGTTCACTGGATAAAGGTGCTCAGATACACAGACAGTTACAGGGTTAGAAATGTAAGGTTCCAGAAGTCTAAACAAAATTGTTTCCCTCAAATGTGATTGCATTCATGAGATTGAAAATTGCCAGAAGACTATTTTTTACAACTTGCTGAAATTAAAGTTCATTTTAGAATTCAGAGCAGATATCTATCAACATTAATCTTGCATAAATTCAGTTTCTTTCCACCACATTTTCATATGAAGAGTTGGAGCAGGTGCAGCTCCAAAATATCCCCATGTACATTCTTGATTGTATGAAGGTTATGTTCATTCAGTATTCATAATATTAAATAATAATACTGAATAATACTAGCTATTCTTGTCTAGGTAGTGTCATGAGCATAACCCAATGAACAGGAAGTCAAAGGTCAGGATATGTCCTATTAAACAGGTACCTTCATCAGGAAATATGTTTGGAAACCTGTTCTGTACTACACTGCTACATTGCCTAATGCACCTTCTCATGAGGAAACCGTGTAATTGTCTCCAAGCTTTATATAAATTTCCCTTCTGCTATGCAGGTGTTTTATTAGTAGTGGAAAAAGCTAGAAGAACAAAATTAACAATTTTTATAGCTAAAATATCCCAATCCCTACACACTCAAGAATGTTTGTCTTTGAGCCAACAATGTGCGCTTGCAGCCCAGAAAGCCAACCATACCCTGGGCTGCATCAAAAGAAGCGTGGCCAGCAGGTCGAGGGAGGTGATTCTGCCCCTCTGCTCTGCTCTGGTGAGACCTCACCTGGAGTCCTGTGTCCAGCTCTGGAGCCCTCAGCACAGGAAGGACATGGACCTGTTGGAGCGGGTCCAGAGGAGGGCCACCAAAATGATCTGAGGGATGGAGCACCTCTCCTATGAGGACAGGCTGACAGAGTTGGGGCTGTTCAGCCTGGAGAAGAGAAGGCTGCGGGGAGACCTGACTGCAGCCTTTCAGTACTTAAAGGGGGCCTATAGGAAGGATGGGGAGAATCTTTTTAGCAAGGCCTGTTGCGACAGGACAAGGAATAATGGTTTTAAACTAAAGAAGAATAGATTTAGACTAGACATAAGAAAGAAATTTTTTACAATGAGGGTGGTCAAGCACTGGAACAGGTTGCCCAGAGAGGTAACGGAGGCCCCATCCCTGGCAACATTCAAGGTCAGGTTGGACGGGGCTCTGAGCATCCTGATCTGGTTAAAGCTGTCCCTGCTCACTGCAGGGGGGTTGGGCTAGATGGCCTCTAAAGGTCCCTTCCAACCCAAAGCATTCTATGATTCTATACTTCTTCTCACTAACCTTCAGCTTGCTTAACACTGCACATGTAATCTCAGTACATGATTTCATTGTTGCTGTAAAATGACACACACATTGGAATCAAAGCTTCAAGTTTCTATCATAACAGGCATCGTGTTGCTAATTGAGTTTCATTATATATTTGTTCTGAATTTTCTGCTTAGCAGGGACTTTTTTCTCCTCTAGATGTAATATTACTGTACAGAAGCTTCTCTCTTTCTCCATATAATGATATGCTCTTCCATGTACAAAGTAGATTATTTTTTTCCTTATTTTGGTTCAAATTCCACCCTTACCTAGAAAAACATGACCTAGTTTAACAGTAGCCACTATATGGTTCTTAACTCCAAGTAACTCTCAAGGCACTTTGAGTGCAAATCCTGCACTGAAGTGACACAACATGGCCAAAAGCTGGACAGCTTGGCAATACGAATCCCTTGCGACAAGGAAGCGTGAGCCAGAGGTGCCCAAGGCCAGTATTGTCCCAGTTGCTTTAGGATCTGACTGTATGCTCAGCCCACAGCTGAGTTCATGGCCTCTAGAGAGCTACTGTTCTTCCTCCCTTACGAGATGCTCTTGGACCTCCTCCCACTCACCGACTCACTTGTCCAATATATACAGCTCTCAGACATACAAAGATTTTGCCACATACCAAATGGAGGCGCAAAGGTTGTCTGTGCCCACTCTGGTGCATTAATTTTTAATACTTCAGGCTTTACACATTTTATGGTTTACTTACAAGAGATTATTGAAAGGATATTGACAGAATATTGCCTCCAAAATGACTGAACTTTTGCTAGTCATAGCAGTACTCCCACTTGTGATTTTAAAACTAACCGGTAAGAAAGTGGGTAATAACTATATTGCCACCAAAAATATTTTCAGCTGTATAATAGTATCTGGCACAATTCCAGATTTTCTTATGATATCTGTATTCATGACACACAGCTATTTGGCATCGTGTGTGTGAGAGACAGATCCCTAATACTTACAGCCAATCATCATCATAGCAACAGCAAAGATCTTCTCCCCATCTGTAGTCGGCGCGATGTTCCCAAATCCAACACTGGTGAGGCTGGTCATCGTAAAATACAATGAGGAGATGTAGACGGAATCTTTGCTTGGTCCGCCTTCCCATTTTCCAAAGCCTGATGTGTTAAAGCGGTAAGGTGTTCCTATTGACATCCCCAGCTGATAGAGCCAGCTCTCAGTTCGGATCGTGTTTGTATCCTCATCAATAACTTCATAGTCTCCTATGCTGTACCAAATGCAGGCCAACCAGTGTGCTGCAAGACCAAACACGCACACCAGCAGAACCAAGACTGCTGCTCCATATTCAATGTAGTGGTCCAACTTCCGAGCTACACGACCCAGCCGAAGTAGCCTGACCACTTTAAGTGAACTGAAGAGGCTACTGATGCCCTAGAAGGATAAAGCACAGTGACCATTAGAATTTAATATTAAAGCAACAATATTCATAACTGCGGTTTCCAAAGACAGGAGGTGATCCATCACAAACAGATGGTCATCAGATAACACCTGAAAAGAGAGATTGTGAAACACAAAAAGGTCGGTGACCCTTTTCAGGGATGGATATATGCACTCTTGTCTTCATCCACTAACATTTTATGGGTTGCTCTCTGAACTCCCCTTTCAGATGGTTTGAATACGTCTACAAATACATTTGTAAAGGCTTCAAATGACAGGCTGTTTATTGCACATCCAGTTGTGCAAGTAGACCATCCCTGAGCATCCTGATGCTACTTTAGGCTGACTGAAAATAAATGTGGAAGTCCCTGACCATTAAACTATAGAAATCTAATGTTGAGAGGAACATATCCAGACACCTACTGAATCCACTCCAGCATCTGGAGTCATGAACCTCTTACGGCTATTCCTGACTTCCTTATGATCCTGGGCAACACATGTCCTCTCATGTCTCAGATACAACACAGTTTGCAGTATTTAGCTCAGACATACCTGGAAGATAAATAAGGAAGGCCAAAAAGTACTGGAAGTACCTGATGATTTGTAATTTTTCCAGTGTAACAGCACATTTCCTATGACTACTTCATGTAAGAATTCACACACTGATAATCAGTCCTCTGACATTTCTTACATGGACTACACAAAACTTAACTATTTCAAATATCTCACTGTCTAATCTACACATCATATTCTTTTTATGACAGCTTTGTTATCAATGTAGTATTTCTGTGCTGATACTAATATGGCTCCCATAAAACAGAATTAAGCCAGCATGTAGGATTTTGTATTGTTAACTTTTAGACACATTTGCAATCCCATGCACAAGAAGTTAAATAAGAAAATTCAAAGCCATTTGAATGGGCACTAGAAGATCTGAACAGCATTTCAGAAAAATCCTTTCTTCTTTTTTCTACTCCCTTTTATCAAGACTGTTTCATACACAGAAGTCTGATTAAAATTTAAGCAGACTGGTTTAATGAGTATTTCTGGAAATACATAATTGCATACTTCTGGTCACCAGCTTTTACTGGAAGTTTGTTTATTCCTGCATAAATACAACTGCTTCAGTATCTTAGGCTGGTTCAGTGCACTAGAAGAGATGTTTTATTAAATAATTCCATAAAGCATATTGACTCATGTTCCCTAGGACTGCAGCAATGTATTTCCTCTTTATTTCATGACTTTGTCATGATTACATTGACTCATTTTCAGAGACAGATGTAATTTGTTACCTGGGAACACACTATCAATTTCTATTAAGTATTTGGACAAGATCTAACACAAGGGGGGGGGGGGGGGGGGGGTGCGCA